TTTCTTTCTTTCTTTCTTTCTTTCTTTCTTTCTTTCTTTCTTTCTTTCTTTCTTTCTTTCTTTCTTTCTTTTCTTCCTTCCTTCCTCCCTTCCCTCCCTCCTTCCCTCCCTCCCTTCTTTCTTTCTTTCTTTTGTGGGAGGGAGGGGTACCAGGGATTGAACCCATGATGCTTAACTATTGAGCCCCATCCCCCGCCTTTTTTATTTTTTATTTTGAGACAGAGTTAAACAAAAGTTTCTTAGGGCCTTGCTAAGTTGCAGAGGCTGCCATCTTCCTGCCTCAACCTCCTGAGCTGCTGGGATTACAGGCATGTGCCACTGTGCCCAGCATGAAGCCCTTTCTTAGTAGGTGTTTTCCGAGAAATCTCCTTCTTGATCTTGCATTGCCTCCCTGTGATAACTCCAATACTCACGAGGTAAATCTATCAAACCTCAGCATACTGGTGTAACCTCTTTGGAAAGCTCTTTGGAAGTGTTTGCTAAAGCTAAACATCAACTTACCCTATGACCCAGCAATTCCATTCCAGAGAAACAAAAACTTATGTCTTCCAAAGCTCATATACAAGGTAAAATACTATACATTTATTCAAAATAGCCTCTAAATTAGAAGTAAGCCAAATGCCCATCAATAAGAAAATGAATAAATAAATAAGTCAGGATGTGGACTACCACATAGAAATGGAATATTACATTAAAATAAGAAAAAAAATCATACACACAAAACACTAATGAATTTCACAGGCAATATTGGTATGCAAAAAAGACCTAAAAATCATACCGTATGATGAACTTCATATGAAGTTCAAGAACAGACTAAACTAATTGTCAATCATAGAGATCAAAATAATGGCTCTATCTTGGAGGAATTATTATATTTTCCAAAATTTTTTACACAAGAGGAAACAAAATATACCTTGAAAGAGCTTATGCTCATTGGATGTAATTAGCCTGATTGCTTTCCACTAAACTACAGTGTCTCCAGACTTGAAGAAGTATTCACACTAATGTGTGTAAAGGAAGAAAGAGAATATTCGCTTAATTGGATTCAATTAAACAGCATACATGTACATTTATAAACATGGAGAAATCAACTTTTATTCAAATGTCTTTAAATATCTGAGAGGGATTATTGATGGGAAAGGGGCATGAAGGAAATTTTCAGAATGCTGGAAATAACTTACATCTCGTCTGGGGAGGGAGTTACATGGACACGTGCAAATGTAAAACTTCAACAAGCCATCGGGAGTGATGGCAGAAGCCTGTAATCCCAGTGGCTGGGGAGGCTGAGACAAGAGGATTGTGAGTTCAAAGCCAGCCTCAGCAAAGGCAAAGCGCTAAGCAACTCAGTGAGACCCTGTCTCTAATAAAGTACAAAATAGGGCTGGGGATGTGGCTCAATGTTGAGTGCCCCTGAGTTCAATCCCCAGTATGAAATAAAAATAAAAAATAAATAAGAATTCAACAAGCCATACCTGGGAGATCAGTGTTCCTTGTGCACTTTATGGTCTATTTTATTACTCAACATCCTCCTCCCTCAGGAAACACTCTGCACAGTACACCCCGGCAGACTCTCTCAGCTGAACCTATACACACATTGCCTCAAAGGCACACACTTCTGGGGCCGAGGAGGTAGCTCTATGGTGGAGTGCTTGCCTTGCATGCACAAGGCCCTGGTTGTGATCGTCAGCACCATAAAAACGAAGAAAAAACATACTTGTACATGTTTCTGTTTTGTCTACCCCTGCACCGGGCCATATAAACACTTACTGAATGTTTGCAAAATAAACGCATTTTCAACATGCATCTGTTGCAATAAATCCGTTTTTCCTTTCTTATGTTTACATCTTGATTTTAAGACAGGCTATATGATTTTTTGTATTAATCAATTTCCTTGTAGTTTTCTAGGATTTTAGATGGCAGAGATATCTCACAAACTGAGGCTTTGATTAAGTTTTCTTTTACTGTCAACCTCAACAGGTTGGATCTTGTGCATTTTCAAGCCCAAGTAACTCTCACCACTAGGTGGCAACACCTAGCTGAAGGAAGGCCAGCGGACCCACAAGACCAACTCTGAAAGGCAATGCAGAGGCGCGCTGGCCTTTCTCTTCCATTTCCTTCTCATTGCATTGATTAAGGGGAAAAGCTCCTCATAAACCTATACTTCTCTAATATCTGCATCCAATAATACCTCATAAGTAATGGGTAGGACCAAAGATCTAATCTAAGACTTCTGTTTTCAGTGAAATCTAATGATCAAAATTTTCCCCTCCTCCCTTCCTCCTCCCCTCCCTCCCTTCCTTCCTTCCTTCCTTCCTTCCTTCCTTCCTTCCTTCCTTCCTTCCTTCCCTGAGGATTAAACCAGGCCTTTGCATGCTAGGTAAGCACTTCAGCATGGAACTATATCCCCTGCCCTCAACTAAACTTTTCGTGGTTCAATTTGTTTTTAAATAGTTCCTTTCTTCCACTTTCATTACCATCTAGTCTTTCATGACACCTTTGATGTCTCCATCTCATATTTAAAGTTTACTTATTTTCCTCACCAGTAACTAACAATTTCTTACCAGCTTCAAAAAAGAAATAAGCACCAGCAACTGATCTAAGTGATACTATGATCTTTTTCTTTGGGTTCTAGAGATTAAACCCAGCACTGCTCTTCCACTGAACTACATTCCTGGCCCTTTGTAATTTCTTACTTTGAGACAGGGTTTCCCTAAGTTGCCAAGCTCCCTGCCTCTGCCTCCCAAGTTGCTGGGATGACAGGCACGTGTCCCTGTGCCCTGAGACACTATGCTTTTTGTGTGTCTCTTTGACTCTTGAAGGGTTGAGGAGTAAAGCATTTACAGATTGTGGGGCAGCAAGATGGGCCACCCCTAGGCAGCCAAGATGGGGTCTCAGAAGAGAAGGAAAGGAGATGTCGGGTCTAGGGCACACCCATCATTTGCTCCTGACAGCCTCAACCACAAAGCTCCTCCTTAGTTATCCCTACCCCTACTCCCAGCAATGGCCAACCACAAAAGCTCCTTTAAAGCACTTTCTGTTGTGCCTAAAACCCCTCATCCCCACCTTATGTCAATAAAAGTTTGAAACTACTCTCCCCAGATTTGTTGAAGAAGACAAAAAAGAGTGTCAATTGGCCCCTTTCCAAATCCTATATCTCACCCATCACCTATAGGGCTACATCAAGCCCATTAAACCCCCTAGACAACAGGTACCCATTGGCAGCCCTGTCTTGGGATCCCTCTCTCTCCGAAGCTCTGCTTTCTTTCTATTGCTCTGATAAAGCCTGTTACTGTGCTCTCACTCTTGTGTCTGTGGATTTCATTCTTCAATTTTGCAAGACAAAGAACCCACTCGTGCACCGAGATGCATTTACACATTGGACTAGGCGGTGACTTCAGTTCACTGTGTCCTAGACACAGGCTAAAATGAGGACCTGGGGCTGGGTATGGCTGCATTGAAGCGACTTATGTTAGTACTGCGTGTGGCACAGGAGGCTTTACCAATGTCCCCTGCACTAGACCTGCCTTATCAAAGGCCTGCCCTTGTGTGTTCACAGAGGAAACGTTACCTGGCCACAGCCAAGCAGTAGATGGCGTTCTCCCTGGGAGTCCTCCCACTGTGCTGCTGGAAAGATGCGAAGCAGGACTTCAGTAAAACGTCCTCACTGCGCGCTGTGGAGTAACAGGGGAGCGAGTACCCCGCTCTTGAAAAGGGGGGGAGGGGCACTTGGGGGAGGTAGGCATTTTTTATGCACCCTTCTTTCCTCCGAGCTGTGGAGGTAATTTTTATCTGACTTTGCTGTTGATGTCTCTGTAACTCAGAGAATGCATCCGCATCTACCAGTGGAGGCAACACTAGGGGCCCATCTCCCGCTTCCCTTTGTGGAACTGCCACAGAGTCCCCAGGCTTCCTTCTTGTAGCGTGTCCTCTGAGAGGCGGTAGCTTGCTGGAGCTGCCTTGTGAGTCCTGGTTCCCAGCCTTATGCCAGCTCTTGGAGGTCATTTGGGGTTGGGTGAAACCATCCACCATCACAATATCTCCAACTTTCGCCCCACGGACCCCGGCTCTGCACAGCTGGCTCCTGCGAAGGCTGTGACTCTGAGCTCTGAGGATCCATTGTTTTATCTTAATATAAATCCTCATTGGGACAGAAATCTTCAGAAATGAGACCGTGGACCACATTTTATTCAGCAGATACAACACGCAGTCTTTATGCCTGTGTTTGGACGCGATGGCCAGGGGGGTTTGTCCTGCTGGGTCTTTGCATTCCAGGCACAGGACACTGCAGTGGACAAAGGTCTTCAGAACCAGCAGTTGGCCTGCTTCTGCAGCTGCATGAATGGGGCACTTGGAGACATCTGCGTGGAGGGCTTCGTGGCACCATGCTCGATAGGGGTGGGCACCCACTGCCTCATGGGGCCGCGCACCCTGCTTCAGGGCCCACTCAGTGAGCTCGGCGTAGCCATAGAAGGCAGCGATGTACAGGGCAACCCTTCTCTGATACCTGGAGGAGGGAAGCAAGTGGGGGAAGGGTCAGTAAAGCAGGGTCACCCGGCACTCACAAGACATTCTGCTGAAGTGCTCACTTCTTCCTAACGTTGACCTTGACGCTGTTTTAAGAAAGACTTATAGTAGCACCTGGTTGGATTCACAGGCCTGCTGATACCCCCTCTTCTCCCACCAGCAGGTAAATGATTCTAACTGGTTCCCTTGGAGTGGATGTCAATGTAAAAATCAAATGCTTAGGACAACTGTGAAGCTATATAGTAAAAAGGAAGTTACTGGAAGCAATTCAGCGCATTTTAGACATCTGAGAGCTCAGTGTGTTTGTCTTGCTGTTTGGACAGTAATGTGTTCTGTCTTTTCAATTCTCTGCTACTCTCCTGAGCCACAGCCCTGCCTCCTATCACCCCCACCCTGCCTGGACTCCTGGTTGCTGTCCTCTGTCACCTCCATTGTACTGTGCCACCCTGGTCCTTCCAACATTCCGAAGGCATGAGCTGGGGATTGGTGACGGCAGTTCAGAGGCATGAATGAAGGAGGCAAACCTCGAGTGCGCCCAACCTCGTCCAGGACACACGTGTGCAGGGGGACTGAACCCCTTGCAGAGATGGAGGCAGGTGGCCTGGTGTTACCCCTTCTCTACTTGCACACCAGCCTCTGCCTTTTGCTGCGCATGCAGCTTCCCATGTGTTTTCCTGGATGGGGAACATGCTCTGCCCAGAGCACAGGGGTCAGTTAGGTTATAACTAAATGGAGTTAAGGTGCTGGCATTTATGCACACATCAGCTTCACACTTGAACTTTGAAAGTCATCATGGCAAGGCAGCCTCTCTGAAGTTGACCCATCTTGGATGAGGAGCCTGCTCCTGAATGAGCTGTGAAAGACCCCTGGGACCTCTGGGCGGCTGGGCAATCATCCTTGCCCTGGTGACACCAGGTCCCTGGGCCATATCTTTCCTTCAGACATCTACAGTTTGATTGATGCGTCCAAATAAGCCCTTCAAGCTCACTGTGTCAGTGACTGAATTCCTCATCTTCTTTCCTAAGTTTGCTCTTCTTCTGAGGTTCCCCTCCTGGCCCAGCAGCTCTTCATCTACCCCATCATTGAAGTCAGGAGCGGGGGCTTCAGATTTACTTTGCCTTTCCTCTCCTTTCTTCCCATACCTAGTCTGTTATTCACAGGGGCTGACTCTGCCTCCCACACCTACCCTCAGTCCGTCCTTAGCTCCCCCTGTCCTACCACAGGCCTGGCTCCACAGCCACCTTCTCCTTACCATCTACTTCTGTTCCACAGACAGCAGGCGGGGCTGTGATCTTAAATGCCAAGCCCATCCTGCCCCTTCCCTCCCTTCAGAGCCTTCCCACCGGCGAGAGACCAAGTCCAAACCCTTTCCATTCCTCCACAGGACTGCGTGGACTGGTCTCTCACCCTTCCAGCCGCCAACTCCCTCTCAATCTGCAGTCCACCACCAGGAAAGGCATTCAGTTCCATGAACCTGCCCTCTTGCTGCTCGGCTTGGACACCTATTTTGGATCCTTGTCTTCTCTCCTACCTGCCATCCCCCTGGGTGCTGGTCCTTCAGGTCTCAAACAGGACCTCCCTTCTCAGGCAGCCTCGCTGATCCCTAGTGGAGCAAGTGGTCCACCTGCATGCTCTTCGGCCAGGCTGCACTGAGCCTTGTTTACAGCCCACAGCACACACGGGCGGTGACAGCCGTGAAGCCTGACCCTCAAGGCTTCCGACCAGGCCTGCAGCACCCTTTGAGTCCTTATGACCACAGAGTCACTTCATCTCTAAAGCCATTCTCTGGGTAGATACTATTATTGTTGCCACTTACCAGGAGGCTGAGGTATGTGATGTTTAGGTTGCTCCCCATTATTTATGGAGCTGACCGTAAAGGAACAGGGTTGGCTCCCAGGCATGTGGGCACTGGAGTTGGACTCCGAAGCATTTTTTTCATTTTGCTTCTCCAGCAACTGGTTGTTTATTTTCTGTTTCCCCTACTAGATGTTAAGCTTGCTGAAGACAGTGAGGCCTTGTTTATTGCTATATTCCTAGGCTCTTAGTACATAGCAAGTGCTCAACAAATACCTGTTGATTGGGTGGAGGAGTTAAAGGAGCTTTTCATCTTGATCATGTACATTCTCAGCTCTTGGACTTTGAATATTAAGTCCAGGGGAGGTGATTGAGCACATGAAGACTAGAGGTGAATTGTCAGGATCCAAGATCCTGCTGTGCCCTTCCTTGACAGCAGCGTGACATTGGGGACATTTCATAACCTCAGTTTCCTTTCTGTTGTACAAGATAACAAATACTTACCTCATATATTGTCCTAAGGACAAAATCATGCAACAGTGCTCACGTCAAAGAGTGTACTTAGTAAATATGCTATGTTAAAGGCATCAAGGCGAAACAGATATTTCTTTGGATTCAGAACATGAAACAAGAGACTCATCACCATCCTAAATTAGAAATGGATGTAAAATACTTCAATATTTCACGAGACCGTGAAAGCTGCTCTTCCCATCTGTCCCCTCACCAAGCCCTTGGAGCTCCTGATAGTGCCTGCGCTTTTATAAGCAGGGCTGAACTCCCACGAGGGGGCGCTGTTCTGAACGCGGAGGAACGCGGACCTCAGGGTTACTGGGGCTTGTGCAGTTGGGCAGCTGCTGGCTGCAGTGGTACCTGGGAGGGTTCCGAGCCTCGCTCTTTACCGCCCAGGTACAGTTTGTGTGTGGCTAAATGCTGGCTGCTTGTATGAAATGCACTTTAAAAAATTACAAGTGAGCTTAGAAAGGGGCGGATCACGTTTTCAGCCAATTGATTGGAAAGTGTTTTTGTAGGATAACTAAAGTGAATGGCAAGATACTTATCGTCTCAGGTTTTAAAGTGACGTTTAGAAGTCCGATATCCAAATCAAACTGAAGTCACCTGTTTCATTAGTATTTCCAATCACTGCAACCCATCACCAAGGGCTGCCAGCTAATGCCTCACGTGTAATATTGTGTGCAGTGGAACCCGCCTGGAGCAGCACCCCAGGTGTAGAGGAAACAGCAGCTCACGGTCTGACGGGAGTTTAGTGAAAAGTTACTTAAATTAATTCCGTATGTGCCTCCTCTCTCGTACTTGAGCACTGGTCCTTCTCTGGATAAATAGCGTTGGACTTTTAGTTCCTGCCCAAGGAGGCAGCCCATGAGAAACTCCTTCCATCCATCCCAGACGTCCAAACGTAATGTTGTGCCTGTGGACACAGAGAGGCGGGTCACAGCTCGCGTTTGTCCTTGTGGTTGCTTAAAACTTCTAATGATAGCTCTCCTCCAACAGAGGCAGGAGCTGGATACACACTGGAAAGTAACGTTGGGATAAAGAGCCAGGGTGGTATTTTTAGCTTAGGCTTTGGGTTTTGGAAGAGCCACTCAGCTTGAGTACACTCCTGTTTTCTCATCTCTGGAGCCAGGGCATATAATGCTGTAGTTTCCTGCAGCCCTCTTAAAGCAGTCTTGTGGACGTTGATCCAGGGCTGAGATATACGTTACCGTGTAAACTGAAGCTGGTGGTTTTGGAAAAGGAAACTAAGCAAACTGGCTTTGTTGGACCCTTAGGTAAGAGCCTCATTAACTATACCGTCTCCTTACCTGTCCAGATAGGTTAAGGGGCTCTTCCTCTGGCTCCCATATATGCTTGGAAACTCTCTATCATTGAACATACGTTGCAGAAACTTTAGAATAGCCAGTTGACAAAGGCCAGTGGAGAACTGTGAGCCCAAGCACCAGGTCTCATCCAGTCTTGGGGGCCTGTTTTAATTGTGCCCTGGGGTTGCAAGAAGTCCCTCATGTGCATGAACAACCAAGATTTGCTCACAGTGGGCTGCTCCCTCTTCTCCCCAGGGACCCAGGACTCTCTCCCTTATACTCTCTATGTCTCTGTGTGTCTTCTCCCCTCTCTGCTGACAGGTTGCACCTGCTCACTCCTGCTTCTGTTCTAACATGACTTTGGCAAGCACGTGGCCTTGATCTGCCACAATCCAGCCCTGCAGTATGGCACCTTTCATCTTTTGCTTCCACTGATAAATGGCTTGCACTTATCAATTGCCAGACACACTTACTTGCCTACTCCAGGCCCCCACCACTGCCCTCTCTAGGTGTGTGCAGCTGGGTTTTTCTCAGCCCATCCATCCGTCCCTAGGTTCAGGGTCCCCACCGTCCCTAGCTCAATCCTCCTTAATATCAGTAGGGCACCTCTGTCAAGACCTGTATTTTATTCTACTTTAATTTCCTGTCTGTTAGAATTATCATTATTATATCATATGATATAATAATATATAATATATACTATTATTCTATCAAATCAGTTCCTTGCAATAAAGAGCCCTAATTTTTCAAAGATCAAAGATAACAATCAAAGAGTTTTCTTTTATTGCTCAACTTTTGAATATCCAGAGAATTTCTAAACAAGTTTAGTAAGCACCATTTACTGGCTAATCTTTTCATCCCAGTTGGTTTTTAATGCTCTTTTTTTCACATATTAAATTTCTTCATAAGCTTAAGAATTCTGTTGGAAAATAGAAATTTACTTGAAAAATGTTTTGCTGCTCCAGATGACACTACCCATACCTGTCACAGAAATGTGTAAAGGTGATGAGACTTAAGATTGGGGCCCCTTTCTGCATTAGCCTTCTAATTCTCTATTCTTATTTTTTTGAGGGACCCACAGAGGTTATGGAGCTTTCCAAACCTGCATCTGCTTGGTGTCTTCTTGCACACCTGTCCGCACTGCCCAGGGCCACCCTGGAAAGCAGATGGGAACAGCAGGGCCTATGCTAGGCAGTTGTCCCCAAGGCTCCCTGTTGGTCCCTGTCTCCCAAGTTCCTGGGTTCCTTACTTGTGCTCCAAGGGTCGATATCTGCCTGATTTGGGCTTTTTCTCCCAGAATATGCAAATCATTTCTTTGATTTGGACTTCCTGGGGCAGGGGAAACAAAGTAAAACATTGATCAGATCTTAAAGGGCATCAATAAAGGTGTTCCGGTTTGGCAGACCAGATTATTGGGAAGAACCCAGTTGGATGGAGTATGAACACTGTTTATTGGCAGTATGGTCTTGATCAGGTCATGTACCTCTCTGAGCCTCAGTTTTCTTATCAATAAAGGGTTTTAAGGGGCACATAAGGTCTCCCTGGACCTAGGACTTGCCGAGGTACCCTGAACCAGCTCAGATCTCAGCTCCAGGAAGAGTTTCTCATGTGCAACATGCTCAGGCTGTCCATGAACCCATACCACGAGCCATTTACAGTAAAAAAGAACCGACTGGCATCATTCCTAAAGAAACGGCTTCCATTCATTTATTCATCCTCCACTTACTCGTTTGTTTAGGTAGGTATACCTTGTTCCAGAAAGGATTCACGCCAGTTTTGAGCATGTATATTATGTGTGTGTATGTGTGTTTGTGTGTGTGTGTGTGTGTGTATAGCGAGTAACAAGCAGGTAAGCAAGAGGTAAACAAAAGCCTGGAAGAGACCTAGGAGTTGGGAGCAAGGCCAAAGGGAATACTTGTACCATATCGTTAATGCAAAAAAAGGTGTGTGTGTGTGTGTGTGTGTGTGTGTGTGTTGGACCTGTGTTGTGCCACTAAATTTCAAATCACAAATATTTGGATATGCTTAGCTTGATAAATATTTTTTAATATTCATTTTTTTAGTTGTAGTTTGACACAATACCTTTATTTTATTTATTTATTTTTATGTGGTACTGAGGATTAAACCCAGGGCCTCCCATGTGCTAGGCAAGCACTCTACCACTGAGCTACAACCCCAGCCCCTTAGCTTGATAAATTCTTGGTAAGTTAGTTATTAAATGTTCTATCACCAAAAAAGCCCTTTATCCCCTTATTTATTATCTTCTTCAATCCAAAATCCTTTTGTCACCACCTACTTTATTAAAATGCGCTGAGCCCCCCAATGACCTTTGAACTGAACCAGAAGCCTTTTCTTAGAGTTGCCTGGCCTTCACCAGCCTCCTGACAGCCTGGCCTTCACCAGCCTCCTGACAGCCTGGCCTTCACCAGCCTCCTGCCAGTAGCCTCTAGCCCACCCCCTGTTCCAGTACAGAGTCCTGGTTCTCCCGACTCAGACAGCTTTTCACGGCTCATTTCCCATTCCTCTGAGGTCTGCTTCCTTGCTAGGTCCCTCTCTGTACTTGATCTTTCCTAGGGCTTGACTCCCACCTTGTGGACAGGACACCTACCCCAACATCTGCTACCACTCAGGCCTGGCTCCCTGGTTGTCATGGAGGAGAATGGGAAGACTCAGGCATACTTGCAGCCTCTGCGAATTTCCTCCTACCAAACCTTGGGACCCAGCTCAGCTCCCTTTCCTAGTTTGCCCACCCCCGTCCTTAGCGTCAGAGCCTTGGTCCTTCCCTTTTCTTAAATATAGGTCTGGCATGACTCTGTTTCTTCTTCTCCTTGTTACTCTGGTTGTCTCGCCCATTGCTGGTGGAATCACTTAATACCGGGACCATTAAAACTGCCGGTCAGTGCACCACCCTGCTGCAGTTTCTCCTCATTCCCTCTGCAGTCCACGCCGCTCATTACCAGAGGACGCTTCAGCCCCCACCGGGTGGCTGAGGACTGAGTGTCCCGCCATTCCACCGCGAGGCTGGGAGTGCAGCCCGAGCTTCGCGTATTCCTGCGCGAGCCAGGGTGTCCAGCGACTGCTTGGCCATTTACATCTTTGATTTTCAACAACGACTTGACTGCTTCTTCAAAACCTGGATTTTCCACTGCTTTTGGAAAAAGGGTCAAGGGTCAACTCCTGAGAGCCGAGGGGATGACTCATTGACTGGACTGGGGAGAATCTGGAACAGAAGCTAAGGGTCCTTCGCCCTCTGGTTAAAGCCAGGTGTGCTGGCTGTTCGAGGAGCACGGGTTATGCTTTAAGCAGAGGTGCAGGGCGTGCCCCTTGCCCCTGGCCTGTCCTCCAGGGCCCCCTGTAGCCGCGATGGCTAAAGCAGCCCATCAGAGGGTGCTGACCCTGAGCCTGGTCTCTGAAACCCTCCTCCTCAAGCTCTTTCCTCAGAGGCTCGTTTTAAGGGTTGGTAACTTCCAGAAAAGTTACTTAAAAAAAAAAAAATTTGTGAAGTCCTTTCTGAATTCTCTAAAATGCCACAGCATAATACGAGCCATATAGGACCAAAGAACAATCATCCAGACTTTATGCTAGTTTTGTTTTGTCTTTTGATGTTTCATTAAATAACCAGATTACAGTTGCTTGAGGACAAGTGTCACAGTGCGTCCTGCCTCATGTATCCCTCAGCATATCCGAGGGAGGGTTCAGTCTCCAGCCAGCGTGCACAGCCGGCATGTGCTCTATAGAGGAGCACTCTGGGGACAGACCCTACAACTTCATTTGCTCTGACCAAAAATGGGGACAATAATTGACAGCAAAGTTCTGAGAGCCTCACTTTGAAACTGCATGAAGGAATAATGCTAAGACAATACAACGGTCAGGAGAAGCACCAATAAGTACAAATTTAGCAGTTTTTAAAAGCCAAACCCCTTAACTTGAACTCCCCTAGAAAGCTCTGTGTATACTAGGCAGAAGCAGTTTTACAGCTTTGCCCTTCCTGCAGCTGTGCCCCTTTCAGCAAGGACTCACTCACCTCAAGTGATGACCTAAGTTCACATCATTTTCTAATAGGATTAAAGCAAATCTGAAGGCTTGTCAGATCTGAGGTTTTCTCATTGACGTCTGGTGTACCATGCGTGACCTGGATTACAGTATTGAAAGAGCAGTTGGAAGCTGTCTATAAGGGGGAAATGCTGGTCTGCTAAAGAAAGGCAGCTTTCCACCCTGAATCCTGGCATTCCCATGTTACAAAGCTGGTTTTTATATAACTGGTAACATTGTAGAATGAGATTGCACACAGAGATATTCAGAACAGTGTACAGTATATGCTGCTACTTGCATTAAAAAGGGGGAAAGAATATGTACTTGATTTACTTTTGTATATGCTTGAAATATACTTTCAAAGAGAAACAGATAAAGTGATTTGAGTTTTGCTCTTCTAACCTGAGAATATCAACAAATCCTGCTTCAAGAACAAGAGTTGGGGCTGGGGCTGTAGCTCAGTGGCAGAGCATTTGCCTGGCACATGTGAGGTACTGGGTTCGATCTTCAGCACCACATAAAAATAAACAAACAAAATAAAGACATTGTGTCCATATATAACTAAAAATTTTTTTAAAAAAGAACAAGGGTTGGCAGGACTTTGAGACCTTCCTTATTTCTTAGTCTACAGACAAGGGCACAAAGTGTTGATAACTTATATCCATGCTATTCTGGCAGAGGATTCTGATTAGAAGCAACTCCTCCATTTGCTGTGACTCAATTTAGAAATGCTTTTGATTCTCAGTCTTCATGGCCATAATGGTTGCCTGCAGGGGCTGGGAGACGCAGAGATGCCACAACCTTCTATACTGCTGACATTTTAAAACTATGTAACTATCAACTATTTTAAAATCAATAAGCAAATGAAATCAATATACTGCATTTTAAAATCCAGATTTCCATTTTCTTTTGAAAAAGTCCAAAATCTGGCTGGGATCAAAGCACCCCTTGCTGAGTGGCAGCATACCCACCGCCGAGGCCATACCAAGATGGGTCTGGTAGTCCCGCAGGGTGTTGCGATCATACATCTCCAGGCCAGCGGGGGTCCGCAGACAGTAGACGCTCACAGGGAGGCCACATCTCAGAGTCACCTCGGTCCTTAGGTCAGACACTGTTTTACCAAGAAGGGAAACGCTCTCCATTATTGGCATCGTCTCTTGGGTCACAGCGTTGAACACGTACAGCGTGGGCTTGTCTTCTTCCTGAAGGGAGAGGAAAGGAGGGAATGTACTGTTTGGAGGTTGGCACAGGGGACCAACCCGTCAGAGGGTTCTGAGGGCCTCGCTCCCTCCATGTGGGTGTGCTGGGGGTGGGGGACAGGATCAGCTTTGCACTCTGACCTCTGGTCTTGGTCTTGCCCTCTGTGTCCACATTAGCGAGTCCCCCTGCTTTGAGCAAGGTGGAGGAGACGCCGCGGGCTCTGAGATCTTTCGTCCTTTATCTACAGACCCAGATCCACGAAAGGAAGGCTGACAACCTACGTTCTTGCTGTGGTTACCCAGGTGTTAGTTTGGAAACACCCTCCACAGTGCTGCACTTTAATTTAGAAAGACCGTGGATTCTAAGCCTCAGGTCAATCTTAAAAAGTCCTTTCTGAGAGGCTAACTCTGAGGAGCGGGCAGGGAAGTTTTTCTTACTGCTACGTGCTCTCCATCATCTGTCTATGCAGCTTGACTCGTTAAAAATACAATAACCATGTATATTTAATTTTATGTTTAAAAAGGGAAATACTGAATACAGGGTTTTTTTTTTTTTTTAAGTGTCCTTTGTTCCTTTTCTTTTACAATCCAAATAGGAAACCAAGTGGCACTGAGACATCTGAAGCAGAGTTGATATGGGAAGCTGGTGGAGTCTCAGTCCTCTGTTGGCCACAGTCAGTCAGGACAAACTAAAACTAGGAACACAGCAATTGGGGGAGGGGGAGAATCTCCACATTTCCACTCTGTAACAGAAAGTGAAACTGACCTCACTTCCTCTTTGCGGACTGGGGAGGACAGTGACTCTTCCGTGGCCTGCGGTGGGCTGGGTGTGCCACTGAGGACTGGGTCAGGGCTCTCCTGAAGCTGGGCGCCCGGCTCCTCCTGGGCACTCCAGCCAGCCCTGGCATCTTGCCCTTCTGCTTCTTCACCCTCTTCCTTCCATCAAAACTCCCCTTCAGTCCCTAATGAAATTAATATATAAGAAAGAGGCCCTTCTGGACACCACTTTCTTATATACTAATTTAATTCCCTCCCTCCGGGTACAAGTGCCATCATATGAATCTACACGCGGAGCTCTGAGAAAGTCCTGAGGAGCGGCTTGCTGTCAGGTCTGCAGTGTCTGGATCTAGGGCACATCTCAGTGACTCCAGCCCAGGGGCAGGCTCCACCCTCTTCTCCTCACCTGAGGCCACCCCGCAAGCTGAGCTATGTGGACACTCTGCAGGATGGTTTCACAGAAAACTGCTCAGTACCCATAGAGAGAACCATATTCGCCCTCCCCTTTCACCAGGCCCATGCTTTCCTTCGGCTGTGCAAGGCTGGATCTGCCGAAGCCAGTCCGTGAATGTGTGCGTTGGGCAGAAATCCCTGCAAAGCTGAACAGAAAGGTGCTAAGTGCAAAAGAGAGGAGATGATATGTCATCTCCACCCTTTTCTTCTCTTCTTGTGGTCCTGGAGATTGAGCCCAAGGCCTGGCACAGGCTGGGCAGGTGCTCTACCATTGAGGCACAACCCAAGCCCTTCCCTTATTTCTTTAGAGATTCCTCTGATTTATCTTTATTCCTCTGGCTGGGTACTAATTTATATTTAGAATGAAAAGCAAATGAATAGAATAACGTGCAAACAAAATACAGGAGGCCTGAGTTACTCTCCCCAGTTAACTTGCTACTACATGAGGCCACATAAACGAGGCAAAGAGAAGCTTCACAGCACATGAATGATACCACATTCACATGGTAGATAAGCCCCTCTATTCCTCCCATGTTCCCCTCCCTGCCCCACTGTGAATCAGCCTCCTAATATCAGAGAAAACATTCGGCATTTGTTTTTTGGGGGATGGGCAAACTTCACTTAGCATTATCTTCTCCAAAGCCATCCTCTAGATAGGGCAGAGGGGTGGGAGGGAAAGGGAGGGGGCATGGGGTTAGAAATGATGGTGGAATGTTATGGTCATCATTATCCAAAGTACATGTATGAAGACACAAATTGGTGTGAATATACTTTGCATACAACCAGAGATACGAAAAAATGTGCTGTATATGTGTAATATGAATTGTAATGCATTCCGCTGTCATATAAAAATCAAAATAAATAAATAAATAGAAGCACTCACAGGCCAGGTGCAGTGGTACATGCATGCCTGTAATCCCAGAGGCTTGGGAGGCTGAGGCAGGAGGATAGCAATTTCAAGGCCAGCCTTAGCAACTTGGCCAGGCCGTAGGAAATTTAGTAAGACCCTGTTTCTAAATAAAATACAAAATAATAATAATAATAATAATAATAATGATGATGATGATGATGGAGGGGCTGGGGATGTGACTCAGTGGTTAGGTGTCCTTGAGTTCAATTTCTGGTAACCCTTCCCACCTCCCACCCCCCAAAAAAAAGAAGCACTCACAATTCCAGGACTATGAATATTTGTTTTGAGTTCCACTCTCCTCTGGTACCATCACCTGGAATTTTTGTAAACTTCCTGGTCTTGGTAACTATTTACTAAGGTTTTACAATTCCTAATTTGAACCTGTGAAAAACAGAGATCTTTTCCAACTCATTTGTAAATTACAAATTCTGTCTTTTGCTTGCCATTTTTTTTTTTTTTGTACTGGGGATTAAACCTGAACCCAGGGGCACTCTGCTGAGCTATATGCCCATCCCTATTGTTTTTTATTTTGAGACAGGGTCTTTCTGAGTTGTTTGGGACCTTGCTGAATTACCGAGGCTGGCTTCAATCTTGCTATCCTCCTGCCTCAGCCTGTTGAGTCACTGTGGATTACAGGTGTGTACCATCATGCCCAGCCCTCTGCCTTTCATTCACATCCAGATATCTTCCTTCTCTCATGGGATATGCATTGTGAATATTTGGTGAAAGCCTTTTGACTATAAATGCCATGTTTTCCAGAGTGAAATAGAACAAAGCATTTTTTTTTTTTTACAAATAAAACTATTTCAATTCTACTGACAAAAAAAAAAAAAAAAAAAAAAGATAAGCCTTTCTAACCTGTCTCTAGCCTGTAGGTACCAGCATTGACAGAGGTGAAAACCAAAAGTGCAAGGAATCAAATGCTGTCAGGTCCCAAGGCCCCAATTAACACCTACAGAGAGTCAGTTTTTACGGGGAGGAGCATATAGGGACCTTTGACTACACAAGTAAATAATAAATGTCAAATGACATCCCAGACCTATTTCATTCATAATGCATCTATTTAAATGATATTTGCATTATTTAAACTCTACCTGTAATCTTCTATTTTAAAAACTTTGCTTTTTTATTTATAGTTTTTTTAAATCAGTGCATTATGGCTATACCTGAAGGTGAGATTCACTGTGGTATATTCATATACGTACACGGGAAGTTTCAATCAGATTCATGCCCCCATCTCCCACCATTGCCTTCTTCTACTCTCCACTGATCTCCTATTTTCTTTCTTTCTTTTTTGGTACTGAGGATTGAACCCACTTAATCACTTTACTAACCACTGAACCACAACCCCAGCCCCTTTTTATTTTTTTGAGATAGGATCTTGCTAAGTTGCTTAGGACCTCACTAAGTTGCTAAGACTGGCCTCAAATGTGCAATTCTCCTGCCTCATCCTCCCAAATACTGGAACTACATGTGTGCATCACCATGCCTGGCTTTTTTCTATTTTCCTGGGATCCCCTGCCCCACCATGCACACACTTTTTCTTTTTTCTTTCTTCCTTATTTTGTTCTACCTTCTGCATATGAATTTCTAGTTCTGTCTTATTTCACTTAGCATGATGTTCTCCAGTTCCATCCATTTTCCAGCGAACACCATAATTTCATTCTTCTTTACAACTCTGCTTTTGTGGGAAAACTCAGTTTGAATTTGAATGAGGCCCACTAGTTGGGTACTTCTGCATATTGGTTGTATGGACAGGGAGCCAGGGATGCTGATTATAGCATCTTACCCCATAGGAGGTGGCATCTCTCTACCTCTCTGAGTACACTGAGTCAGGGTGCTGGTCAGAACTTAGTGCATAAACAATGCCATATCACAAGGTGCATACACAAAATCAGGTCTTTCCCTCCACACACTAACCAAGACACCAAGGAGAGGCATACATGATGTCTTTCCAATAAAAACAAATACCTGAAATAGGATGGACATTCTTCCCCACTTCAAAGAACAAAGCAAACTCACTGCAAATACAGACATGTACATGAACAATAAAATAGGAAGGGTTTTAGAAACACTGGCTGAAAGAAAACAGAAGTTGAGTCTAGTTTTGAACACTGCTGTAATTTTGTGTCAAGTTCTCCTTTTTTATGTTTGCTATTTTGGAGTGGCAGCACCAAGACAGCGGAAACTTGCCCCAACTGTTCCGGAGTAAACCAAAAGGTGAAATGGTGTTTGTTTTGCTGAACTGAATGAATTCTGGTCAGATGTCTTCATAAATTCCTCTTGTGTGGTAGTCATCCTGGACAGGACGGGACTCTGATTTGAAACTAAAATATCTTTCTTTTCCAAATTCTTTCAATACTTTTTGTGATGGTTTCTCTTAGAAAAAATAACCATTTAGCTGGGGGTGTAGCTCGATGGCAAAAGAGCTTGCCTAGCATGCTCAAGGCCCTGGGTCCATCCCCAGCACGCCCCCCATCCCAAAAGAAAAAGCTGTTTATTATAAATGTATTCTCACTGATAAACTGTACATTTTGAAGAATCACATTTATACATGTTCTTGTGTATAAAACTGAATTCAAAATATAAAACTCCATGCTTCTCCTGGACTTTGGTGTTTATATATTCACATTTTAGCCTTTTGAAAGCTAAAATGTGTATCATTTTCAATCAGTTTTCCATCTATCAAGATAGCACACAGGTTTCCAACTTGCCTGGCAGTCAGGTCTGTACTCAGTCTCACAAAAACAGCTTCTCACAACATTCCAGGGATATCAGAAGGGATTAGGACACTTTGTTGGGGGAAGTCTGGTTACAGAAGGAAGCCAAGGAAACCAGAAGGAGTCTGAAGGAGACTTAGGGTGTCTTAGGAAGGCTGGGCTCATCTCAGCTCTTTGAGACACAGATGGCCGCCCCTTTGCTGTCAGCTTGGGTATGCGAGGAGGCAGGCCGAGTCCGACCTGCTTACCCACTCCTTGGACCTAAGAGCCCAGAAGGCAGGGAAGCAGCTGACTCGGGGAGTGGCAGCCCTGAAGCCTTGCTGGCCTGGCCACAGGGCTGACAGCAACTCCAGCACCATCTTCAAAGGTTCTTGGCAGCTGCAGTCTGGCCTTCCTGGACTAGTTCTGGGATATGACTTAGATATTGTTTCTGGTTGAGTAACCTCTGATCCTGGTAATCTTCCCTGCAAGATTGTGAATCATGTAAAAGCTCTTTAATATGTTTATTTTCGGCTTAAATCATCTGGGGTTTGTTTCTGTTGCTTGTAACTAAGAGCACGATGCAGACAGGGATAAAGGCCAGATACTAGGAAGTGCTTTGCCTCAAGAGTAGAGAGGGAGGGGAAGCCACAGAAAGGTGGGGATCCAATCCCTGAAAAGCACCTCAACACCTCGCTGTGAAGCTCCGGGCTGCAACCAGATCTTCCTAATTAGCTTTCATGCTCTGCCTCTCAAATCCTCATGAACTCACTCATTCAGTACACATGACGCAGCACCACCAGGTGCCAGGGACTGTTCTGGGCCCTGGATGACAGGAGGGAAGAAAGCCGCAGCAGTGATTTCCAGGGCAATATGGGTCAGAATGAAAGGGGCCAGTGCAGAAGCACCTCTGTGTGCCAGGAAAACCTAGGCTCTTGCAGTGCCCAATGCCATGGTTTTTTGTCTTAATATTTCTTTAGTTGCAGGTGGACACAATATCTGTATTTATTTATTTTACTAGGCTGAGGATTGAACCCAGTGCCTCACACACACAAGGCAAGTGCTCTGCCACTGAGCCACAACCCCAGCCCTCAATGCCAAGTTCTATAGGAGCAGCAGTAGCCACAGTTGTCAGGACCCACCCTGTGTAAACAGAACGTGGAGACACAGGCACAGAACGGGTTCTGTGGCTTCCATAGGAGTTGATGCAACATTCTCTTCACACCAGTCTTGACTGAGTCCCCATTCACTCCTACTCCAAATGTACCTACTTTGACCAAAGTGTGACATGCAGGCAAACTGGAAAATAACTATATTTCAAATGTAGTGAAGGTCAGATCGCCTGTAGATTTACCTAATATCTTTCCCTTTTGTCACCTAAGCAAACTTAGCAATCCACACAAGAATATAAGCATAATAAAATAATAATAATAAAAAAACTAAATGTCTTGGGTTTACTTCAAGTGTACAATACCAACCATACCTTTCAAAATAGAAAAACTGCATACCCAACAAGTCTTTGAACTTCAGTTTGGGGTTTGCATCATCATATTTCTAAGTTTGCCAAAATAAATCAGGAGACCCTAGCTTTCCGATTCTCAGAAGGTAGAACTCATGTGCACAAAGAAACATAGCTGGAAAATAATACGTGACAATGCTCATAGAACATCAAAACATATATAAACATGGGTTTTGTATCAGTGGTCCACTTATGCATTGACTACATACATCCCTTGTAGCTCTAAAACTGACATGTGTTTTCGTTCCAAACTTCTCCTTCCTGACATCCTCTTCCCATCTTTTCTTCTTGACCTTTGCCGGGTTTCTCAGGGGTCACTCCAGTTAAACTGGGCTAACTGGGCTGCACGAAATAACCACACAAGAGACACAAATACCTTTTTCTTTGGGGTCACTGTGACGGCTCCTCTGACCTTAAGGGTCCGCAGAAAGAGAGATAGAGCAAGAGCACGTGCTGACCCCTTTTATTGAGGAGAAGTTATTTAAATGAGGCAAGGGGTCAGGTTTCAGGGGGCTGAGTCTATCTTCATGATGTCCACTGTCAGCAGATTGACTGACACCTGGGTAGGCCACACCCAAGGGCACAGTAAGAGAAGGGGACACACACAAGGCACTTCCATGGAAGATTCTATCCTAAACAGGGCAAGGGGTTATATTACAAAGGAACAGGTGAACATAGCTTCACCCATGGGGCTGTAGCAAGACACACCCATGCATGAGACACCAACTCTTGCACCCAAGAAGAGTGGGGAAAGCTCTGCCACATTTCTGCGACTGAGCGTCTCAGCACCCAGCCAGGGAGCGTGACTCAGTCACATGTAAGATTGTTCTCCCACAGACCTTCTTCTCCCTGTCCATCTCCTCCCTCCCTCCTTCCTCCTGCCCATCTCTCTTCTCTGGTCTCCTTCCTAATCTTTCCTCCCTAATCTAGGGAAAAGGGATTCCTCTGAGTCACCTCTGTAATCCCACACCCCCAGCTCCCATGATGGGCAGAATCACAGGCTCTGGGACAGGAGTCCCTTGTTTCTCCTTTGCTAGTAAAGCAATAAAACTTCTGTTTCCATTTCCTCAAAACCTTGTCTTTGTTACTGGGTTGGAAACAGGGACAAGGACCCAGCTTTCAGCACATTTTGTACATACAAGCAGAATCAGTATGTGTTTTGTGACTTGTCTTCACTATTTAATGTTGGAGAACATTCCTTTTAAATACCCTTTTAGTTACTCACTGAAACACATATCGAGTTAACTCTCTACTACCATGAAAACCTTTTAAATATAAATATGAGAAAAGAATTGCCCTGTTTGGTGGGGAATGAATACTTTACTAACTCCTTGAGGTTCCTGTCTTCATGTAGGGTAAAGAAAGAGTATAGAATAATGCTTCTACCCTAGAGCAGCCCTCTTGAATTCTTTGGATGACTTGTTCCTTTAAAAATTGTTGTAAGTTAAGGACCCCCTGAAATATCTAGGCACATAATTTTGTGTATTTATAATTATAGGTTCTGTAAAGTCCTTCAGGGCTCATGAGTGCTTAGTCATGCACATTTAGTGTTATTAATTAAGGACATTAAGTGGAAAAGCTACTTCCATTGCGGCATACCTAACCCGATGACTACTTTGGCTAGATTTGGGTGAGGAAACTGCCCCACCACTCTTGTTACTGCAAATTTCTTCCTCTTCACTCCTCTGCCCCTAATAATCGTGGCCCATGAAGGGACCCGATCCAGTATTATAGATCTGCCCTGGACCTTGTTCTGATGTTGGATTGTGATGAGCTTGTGTTTACAGGCAGCAAAAGAGGTGGGGGGTGGGGAGCAGACAAGGGCAACTGCCTGGTCTCCAGGTCACTCCCCCTGCACACAAAGCCTGCCTAGGACCAGCTATGCCAACGGCAGAGAGAAGGCAGGGAAAGAAAACCTCTAAGTTAGTTACCAACTTACTGTGGCAGGATTATACACAATTTGGTACAAATTGAGACAGGCATCTTGCACAAATGTTATTTGGTTCATGGTACCTTAATGAAGCATTTGAGAGTCGAACAGAAAGATATTCCAACATCAGCAAGACTCCAGCTGTTCCTTAGAGCAGCTCCTGCATACATCAGCTCCAGGTACCGCCTGCCTTGTTCGTCTTCTGAGAGAGGAATGTGGAAATAATCCTTCAAGATAACAGCATATTATGAGGAGAGTAGATCTCTAAGTTACTAGACCGGAAAGGTAATCTCTACCCCCCCCCCCTTTCTCTCTAGCTCTCACTCTTTCTCTCTCACTCTTTATCAAAAACATTTCTCCACTGAGCAATATAATTGGGGACAATGGGAAGAAGTATTAGGGTTCTTAACTTAGAGTCTCTAGACCACCTCAAGAAGTTTACAAACAGAATTTGGGTGGGATAAAACTATGTCTTCATTTCATGAACTCTAAATGAAATTAAAAATTTCCTTAAATTATGCTTGACAGCAACAAACTAAAGTAGCACTCGTCAGCTGTATCTGTGACTTTATCACAAATAAAAGTCACTAATACAGAGCTGGGGACATAGTGATAGAGTGTCTGCCTAGCATGCACAAGGTCCTAGGTTCCATACCCAGCACAAACACAAAAAGCTACACATACTTTCATTTTCACGTCACATTACTGGTGTGGCAGATATTTCAAAATGTCATTCATACTGGTCACTGCTTTGCAAGGGTAATAGTTGTTAAATGCACTGCTGGAACCTGTTAGTGGATAATAAAGCAAACCCTCTACACCATACCTCTACATCACAAATTTGATTTTATCATTTGAAAATTTTACTTCAATATAAAGGGCTTCCTTTTTTATCCATATGTATTTTATCTTATGTATTTACAGATATTCTGAGAAAGATTTCGTAGGTGTCACCTAACTTCCAAAGGAATCCGTGACGCATAAGGTTAAGATCCCCCAGGTTAGAAAATCCCGGTTGTCGAAATCAACCATCTATCACATAACTCAGCTCAACAAATGCTTCCCTGCCATTGGGAATGACCGTCTTCAAGTTAAATATTTGATGGTCAGTTACTAAATATTTTACTTAATTTTTTATTTTAGTGTAAACATTTATAAAAAAAATTGTAAGGAAGATACTGCATCCAAATAGTTTCTTATTCTAGCGCTATGATCCTCGGTGAGATAGCCTCTCTGAGCTTGGCTTACTCTGAACACAAATGAAGTCACAGCTTGCAGTTGGCTGAAGTCCTCTGCTTCCAGAACCCTTTGATTCTTTTTATTTGCTTGCTTACCAAACAAAACATCTATCAGATGACTGGCATTTTCCACTTTCATGGCCTAAAGGTAGTGTCATATTGTTGTCCTTTCATGAAGAAATGCTATCAGATATGTAGGCCATGAACAACCTACTTTTTTCCTGAAAAGTTACTGACTCAGTTTGCTTCCTCATCCAACATATTCAAAATTGCCGTATTCTTAAAACTCTATCTTACAGATAGTGAGGTTTTCAAATAGTTTTTAGCTCCTTGTTTACTGAAAATATGCCGGATAGTATCTCTATCTATGTACATTTTAAACTACACTGCACAATCATAGTTAATGTACATTTTAGTGGCTTGGGACAAAGTACATACCTTTATCATCAGCTTGATAGCTTCCACCGTTTCATCTGCTGAAACATCAAATGGTTCAAAAGATCCTTCAAAAGCTATGAAAATCCTCATCATGCAATTACCTTAAAAAAAAAAAAATCCCACCTGATTTCAAAGATCCTGCTAAATAGTTGGGAAAATTCCAACTCACAATTAAGGACCAAATTGATGGTTGTCCCTGTCAAAGGTGAGAGAATGTGGAGATCCAAGAGTGTCACAGTGCATCCCAGGCAGAGGCCACCTCTGTGTTGCAGGAAGTGCTTCTTTGCCACAGGAGCAAACTGACACCTGGTTCTCATATTACAGAATTCAGCACCCTTGACAATGGCTGAGGCAAGTGTGAACAAGCTTCCCATGTGTAAAACAAAAACACACACAGAATGACACCTTGGAGATGTGGTCACCACCCCGACTCTTGACTTCTTACTTACTCAAGTATAGCAAAATGAAGAGCCCTTAAAAACAACCCTGTGGCTGAGATGCACCAGAGAGAGAAGCACCCCGCAGTTGGCGACCCTGGAAGTTCTCTGTAAATAACTCAAGTTGAAGCATCTGGTTTCCATAGCGACTCTGTGTGCTTGTTCTCTGGCGTCTTTGTAATCCTGCCACGGGGTCTGGCAATATCTACTTGCACCAGGAGACGGATGTGTAGGCAAACTCGACTTTCCCTGGCCGTCCCCAGAATCTGCTCACAGCAACACGGTGGCGCGACATTTCCCTAAGTTCTGGCCTTTCTTTTACTTAGAACAACTTACCATTGTCATCTCCTCCAACCCCACTTGGTGTTGGTGGGAAATGTTTAAACCCCACTCACGAAGTGAGTGAAAACATTAAGCACCATTACTCAAGTTTGTAGAGGAAGCATTTTACTGGGACTTAGACTCTTCTGAGGTCCTTTGATTGGTTCATCTGATTTAATGCTATGATGCCTGTTCCCTTTTTTTTTTTTCATATACATAAATCTTGCATTCTTCCTGAAGTACCTCCTGACCTAGAATAGTCATCACCTTGCATTTCTTTTAATTCTGTGGCCAGGGGACTGGGGTCTGGGGATTGAACCCAGGACTGCACGCATGCCAGGCAAGCACTCTACCCCTGAGCTATTTCACCAGCCTTTTTTTCTTTTTAATTTTATTTTGAGACAGGGTCTTGGTAAGTTGGCCTGGTTGGCCTTGAACTTGGGATCTCCCTGCCTCAGCCTCTGGAGCCTCTGGGATTCCAGGCTTGTGCCACTGGGCCCATCTATTTTCTTTTATTCTTTTCCCCCTTTTATTCTTAACAGCACTCAGACACTGTTGTCATGTGACAACAGCCAGTTAGCCTGTTCACTGTGAAGGACATGGAAACTGCCAAGCCCCGTGGAGAAAGGGAGAACGAGGGGCTTGGACCTTCACAGTCTGCTGTGTCTACAACTGCCCTGACTGCTGCTGCCGACACATTCTGCTGCTGATAAAGTCTCCCTGAACCCTACAACACTCAGACCCCTGTCGTGACCAGTTGCCATTTTCCTCTTGAGAATGTGCCCCTTCGCTGTCGGTGCAGCATCGCTGACCCATGGAGTCTGTCACTGTTTCTTTTTCTTTCATTTGGTGCCAACCCCTAGGATGGGGTTCACGGCTCTTCACCCCCTCCATCCTAACAAACCTCAGTCACGCTTTCATATTTCCTCTTATTTTCTTTTCCTTCCGCCTTATAGAGGAGACCCTTCACACTTTCCAGGTCCACATCAGCTAAACAGTGGCCAGTATGTGACCTGAAACCAACCCCACTCTTGGGCTGGGTTTCTGCTGCCTTACTGACACATGGATGGCAAAGACCTGTATCGGGTCCTTTTCTGGTATTGGGGACTCCCTCCTTCTGACCCTCTCCTTTCCAGTCCCTCCCTCTCTCAGTCTCTGAGTCCTCCAGATCAGAGGCTGCTTTTTGCCATTTTTTTTCCCCTTCATGCAACATGGCCTGCTCATTCTTGGGAGAGGTCCCTTCCAGTCTCTCACAGAGTGCTCTGCCATCTGGACCTTGGGGATTCTCTACCATTGGGAATTGCAGGAGGGGAAGCCCTCTCATTCTCCGGTATAACAGAGTTCACTTGATGCTTTGACTATATCCCTTGTGGCTTTGAAACTTACATTTTTTTCTTTTTTCCCATCCTTTTCCTCCCTGGTCCTTCTTTTCCCTGATCTTCTCCTCCCTAATCTCTCCCTAATCTCATTTTTCTCTAAATCACCTCTATAAAAGCCCCCTATTCCTGCAGATGGGCAGAATCACAGCCTTTGGGACAGGAGTCCCCTGTGTTTCTCCTTTGCTAGCAAAACAATAAACTATCTTTTTCCTTTTTCTCAAAACCATGTCCTCATTATTAGATTGGTATCGGGGACAAGGACCAAGCTCTCAGCAACAACAGGAGACATCAAGTGAAACTTTGATCTTAACCACCACTCTACCAATCCTCTCCAACATGGGGGCTACTCCCCCTTAGGTTGTCTCATAAATAATTTTAAGACCCTCCACTTCCAAACCGACCTTAAAATTAAATGCATCATTGGGCTGAGTACTCAGATCTGGCTGCAATATAAATTAAACAACCAGCATCAATGGCCCAAATTTGGCATGTTTGACCCCCAAATCCTCCAAGACTTAGACAATTTCCTCCAACAAAATGGCCAATGACCTGAGGTTCCTTACCTCCAAGCTTTCTTTCTCCTTCACTCAAGACCCTCATTATACCACCCTTGCTCTGCTCTATAATTAATATACTGACTGCTCGCTCCCTACGCCTTCTAGATCAGGCCTTGACCCCCAGCCCTCTTTTTCATGTACTGCCCCCCAAATAGCAGATGAGCCCCCACCAAAAACAAGTGAAGCTGGAGGCCATCAGGGAAGGTTTCACAGACAGGAGTGCCTGGTAGCTATCAAAGGAGACTGTCAGAGTCACAAGCTTTGAGTTAAATTGAGACCTGCAAATCTTCCCAACCTTCTATAGTGGAGGCTTGATCTGTTTTTGTATGTGCTGTATGATCACCTATCCCCAATATTTATCCCTCTTATTGGTCTAAAAAGATGTAATGTGGCACATAAAAGTCCTAACTTTACTAAGAAAACCCCTAATTGACACAGATAAAAGGACCTCTACTAACCACACAGGTAATGCCAAAAGGAGGGTATTTTACAAAAATCAAATAGCAATAAACAATGACATCTCATGTAGACATCCGTGACATCATAAAAGCTAAGTGTGGTGCGTAATAATTCTATCAAATGGGTTCACTGTGCTGACCCCCACTTGCTTTGTTTTCCAAGAAGCAATGTACGTGCAGCCCTGCTTGGCCTCTGTGGACAGGATAAATCACATTCCTTAGCAAACTACCTGTTCACTGCAGGAGAAATGCAGTCCCCAAACAATGTTGATAAAAGGTGGGTTAGATCCCCCTTCACCCAGGTGCTGGGAATGTCGGTCCCGACTTGCTTCAGTTTTTTTTTCTGTGGGAAAAAAATTTGTGCATGGGACAGAGGAAGGCTTGAGACAAACAAAGGCAGCGGGCTGGGGTCACTCTCCCGTGCTGCAGGAAGGTCTCACGTCCTAAGTCTGACTCCAACAGCCCGCAGGGTACCAAATATTGACCACTGTCTGTCTCTGTTTCGGATTGACTTGTCCCAATGTGGAGGGCACCCTCACCCAGTGAATCTTGGATCCAAAGATGAAATCTCAGTCTGACCTGAGGTCTTTGGGAAAGAGGTGCCCCATTAATCTCTCAAGCCTGAGCCACGTGACCTCTCCCTCTTCAGAAATGCTTCTACCCCAGTTCTGTCCACACTGTCTGCCCCTTAAACAGGGACCCATTAAGAGAGATTCTCAAGATAGAGCTCCCCCAGCTTTGAAATTAGACTCCCTTCTCTAGGCTCTCACAGGACACATCTCCTGTACTCCCCTCAGCTGGCCAGAAAAAGAGCAGAAAATCTGTCTCAACTTAGAGTAAAACTACGCCTCATCTGTCCTAGTTCAGGAATCCAAATTATTTATTTTCTGTAGTGGAGATGTCATCCAGAGCAATAACAGGCTTGCCTCCCTTTTCAAATTGAGGAGCATAATATGAAATCATGGTCCTGTGAGTGTGAGGACCCAAAAGGACAACTGGGGAAATGAAACATGGTTAGAATGCCCTGTGCATGAGGTTTTTGCTCAAAACAGCAGCTTACCTTACTTCTTAGCTTCTGCCAGACTCTCTCTCCAAGGCCTACAGAGCATGCAGAACTTTCAAGATTTACAAGGCTTTCAGAGAACCAGTTGAGAACAAAGGGGAAAAAAGTGTCACTTTTAAATACAGGCCACTTGTGGAACTTAAATGGCTGGTTATCTTATCTCTTCTTAGCAGTCTAACATGCTGCTTTCTTAAGAAGTTCCTCCCTAAACACTACAGCACAGGGAGGGAAGATGGAATGATCTCATGGATTCAAGTCTTCTGTACCTTGAAAATCTTTATCTAAGGATTTCAGGGCTCTCTCTTTCTTTCCATATCTGAACTGACTCTAATCTGATCCCAGGGTGTACTCTGATCTGATAAAGGTGTTCTGCATGCTCCTTTACTAATTACAACGTGTCATCTTTTTTTTTTTTTTTTTTAGATCTCCTGCTTTTAAAAATTCTACATTTTGGAGTTCATGGTTTTATGGTGAAACCACATTTGATCCTGAATGCTTAAATTAAAATATTTTTTTTCCTGGTCAGTCTTATTTTATCTAACTGTAGAGGTTTTTATACTCTGTCTTTGTTTAGATGCCAAATTTTCAAGGGTTAGCTCTCAAATACATTGGAGAATCTCTTTTTACAAAATCCTAAAAAAGGACATAGACATGGTGATGTTGAGAATAAATCTGATAGCCATTGAAGGCAAGTAGCCACCTGAACTTTTGATCTCAGTGTCCGCCGTGGCCATCAGACTTTACACCTAGCATTTCCAACTGCACAGGCCTCTGTATTTAAAGCGTAACTTGAAAGTCTGATAAGCCCTATTTTAATTTCTAACAGTTTAAATCCAAAAGAGGCTTTAGTAAACATTTGAGCATTGCCTCCTACC